TTCATAATGAATTACAATATTCAGAGAACGAGAATGTGGCTCGCCACGGTATTTCTTGGTCTGGCTTTTTCCCGTAGCTCTCACAGCCAGTGTACTAAGAGTTAGCACCAAGTGTTCCTAGTCAGGAGAGAATCCCAGGCCTACCTACCCCAGGCACAGTTACAGGGTTGGAACACAGAGACCTTTCCTCCCAATGCCTTGATTTCCAGATGTTGAGCTGGAGGCATCAGGAGGTAAAGATGCAGTGACAGCCAGATGTGGTGGCACACACCTTAACCCTAGCACCTGGAAGGCCGAGTCAGGTTGATCTCTGTGAGTTTGATGCCAGCCTGGTCTACACCATGAGAGACCGCGTCAAAGGAAACAAGACAAAGCAACTGTTAATTTTGTGCTTGGGAAAGGTGGTGGTTTGAAAGAAAATGGGCCCGAAGGGAGTGACACTATTAGGAGGTGTGGACCTGTTGAAGGAAGCGTGTCACTGTGGGGGTGGGCTTTGAGTTCTATGCTCAAACTACTCCCAAGTGTCTTCCTGTTCCCTTCTGATCAGTCTGTTGGTACAAGGAAAAAGGGATGGGAGTTTGCTTTGCTGTTTTATGTTTATGGATTGAATGGGGGCCTTCGGATATTGGGTTCATGTCACGAGCCATTTCCCCCCTAAAAATCATTACAGGAACCACCACCTTGGGGAGTCTGCAGAGAACCTCACACCCATAATTATGTTCTATTGACAGAACCTGCCCCACACCCAATTAACTTATCTGTTAGCGGAACGCGCCTCACATTCCAGCTATCCAGGGAACCAGGTGTGGCAACTTGTGACCTCTTGGCCTACGTGATGAACCTGGCCTACGTGACCTGGAACATGCGGCAAGAGTCCAGTTTCCCTACCCTTCAGGGGCTATATAAGCAGCAACCATGATCCTAATAAGGGGGGCTTTGACAAATCTGCTTAGCCTCATTCTTCTGTCCTAGCTCATTCCCTTCCAGGTAGCGCCCCTCCGAGACCCTGGAATAACTGATTGCAGGGTGGGTTACAAACCCCTAGGCTGAGTAACCCACCGAACGCAATCGACAGGTTCACTGTCTAAATTCTGCTGAGAGCCTTTAGCTCTATTAAAAGCTCTAGATCACGGCTGTTCAGGAATCAAAGATTCGTTCATCTTACCCTTTGATCCTTTCTTTTCTAAGGCACACTGTGGAAGGCAGAGGTCTGGAGAGTTGGGGCTTTGCTTTTTTCTGGAACAGGGAACTGAACTTGGGCCCTGTATTTGCTGGGCAAGTGTTGTGTCACATCCCCAGTGTCAGAGGCATTTTGTGAATCAGGTTTAGAGTGTAGGAGTCAGCCCATCATCCACAAGGAGGTTAGGGGGAGATGATTATAATTATATAAGGTGCAGGAGGATAGACACACCATGGCTCTCACTGCCTAAAAACCAGGTTTGTTTTGCTTTCACAGTGCCAAGGATTGAACTCGGGGTCGCGAGGATGCTAAACGCTCTACTCCTGAGCTACACCTCCAGTTCTGGACTGCCTCACTTCTGACCAAATTGCAAACATAAAGGGATTTCTGAAAGCACCTTAGGGCTCCGCAACTCCCTGAAAGTAAATGCAGATCTCTTTGAAAGCTCTGGTGTGCAGAAAGGTTTCACTTCAGGACAAGTATACAAATCAAAATTGGCCAGCTCAAGAAGAATGAGACTCTGCAAGGGTCCAGGTGTAAAGTTTTTGCTGTCCTCAGGACAGCATGACCGCCTGATACAGATGACAGCCATGGTATGGGGGTATTGCCAACCAGAGAATGTTATGTGAGCAGCGGCCTTCAGAGTTTCTTGTTGGGCTTTCAAGACTTAGTGATAGATGGAGTCCATGTCATTCTTCAGCCCCAATCCCGCCTCAAGAAAGCTGATTCATGCCACCTGGCTGAGGAGCCTGCCAGGAGTCACCATCAGGGAATAAAGAATAAGACTGTGAAGGATGGGTGAAGACAGAACGTGACTATCATCCCAGCATTTGAGAAAGTTGGAGGCAGGAAGAATGGGGATTTAAGAACAGTTTGGGCCGGGCAGAGGTGGTGCATACCGTTAATCCCAGTGCTCAGGAGGGAGAGGCAGGTGGATGCCTGTGAGTTTGAGGCCAGCCTGCTCTATAAGAGTTAGTTCCAGGACAGCCAGGGCTGTTACACAGAGAAACCCTGTCTCGAATCGATTTAAAAAAAACAAAACAAAACAAAAAACCAGTTTGGGTTTTATAGTGAGTTTTTAAAAGCTGACCTTTGCTATGTGACAGAAGGAGAAGCAAAAGCAGAAGACCCAGACTATCAACAAAGAAAGTCTACGACCCACACGCGTGACTACGTCCATTTTATCTGCTTATGCCTTACAAAGACAGTCTCTATACTGAGAGCGCAGGGAGGGAGTAAAACATAAAACATACATGGTCTGTAATTCTTACAACAATCATGACAAGTTTCTTAGAGAATGATGGAGTGAGGCGTGGTGACACAAACACCTACAATTAGGGCTTCAGGGCCAGCCTGTGCTAAATAAAACCCTGTCTGCAAATAAAGGGATAGAGCTGGGCACGGCGACTCATACCTGTATTCCTAGCACCCAGAAAGCTGTAGGAGGGTTTTGCCTTCGTTATATTTCCCAGCCACACAGATCCAAATAAACTATATCAATTACAACATTGTTTGGTCAATAGTTTGGGCATATTTCTAGCTAGCTTTTATATCTTAAATTAACCCATTTCTATTAATCTGTGTATCACAATGAGGTTGTGGATTACCAAGCAAGGTACTGTCTCCTTTGGCAGCTACGTGGCATCTCCTTGACTCCGCCTACTCTCTCTCTATATATCTCTGTTCGGATTTCCTGTCTAGCTTTACTCTGCTAAACCATTGGCTGAACAGCTTAATATCAACCAAAGAAAGCAATACATATACAAAAGGACATCCCACATCATCCCCCTTTCTGTCTAATTAAAAAGGAAGATTTTAACTTTAGCATAGTAAAATTACATATAACAAAGCAGGTATCAAACAAGAATTACAGTTACAATATTTCTTTGTGAGTCTAAAGTTTCATGTCTAATTTATCTTTTATTAAAACTAAGGAAAATTAACTATCTTCAACTCCATCAAAGACTCCAGAAGGATAAAATATTACCTAAGTAAACAGGAACTGCATTGAAAGCAACTTCCAAAACTCTAGAATTGACAGAGACATCTCACTGCCTGGACAGTCACCCAAAGTTCTTCTCTAATGTGGGGGTATACATCTTCAGCCTACAGGCCCATAGTATCCAGCAGACTTTTCCATGAAGCAGGAAATATGAAGATCTGTTCTGCCTTGTACTGGCAAAGTTCATCAGTTGCTTTCTTCTGTGTCCTGCAAAATGTCTGGCAGTTTCTTCTGTGAAGCAGGAACTCTGAAAGGCTGTCTCATCTTTTGGAAAGGTCAGCAATCACTTTTCTGGGGGTCCTGCATGTCCAGTTCATACAGCATACTATAAAGCAGTCCAGGCAAGAGCAGTTTCTTGCCCAAATGACTAGTCTTATCACATTGAAGGCAAATTCCATAAAAGTTTCTCCAATACCTATCAACCTCTCTTAAGTAATTAATGCTGCCACAAGTAGACATGTCTCACTGTCAAGAAAAGCTAAGTTCTTAAAACATTTTAAATGCAACATTCTACAAGTCTTTGAAAGGTTTGAAGAATACCTATTTATCTGAAATATATCTCTGTACATCTAGAAAACCTAACATGACTACAAGTTTGACTACTATAAATGACTATTAATCTGTAATTTTAATTATACATTACATTTTAAATGAGCTCACAAACACAATACCTTAAACAAGAGGAGAAATACATATAGTGTTAAGTATCGACCTTAAATTTGTATCAATAGACCAAAGTCCATGCCAACGTAGAGTATTCATTTCAATATCATATCCCCCTTTTTCTTAAGACCTTGATTGTGACCATTGACAATTTATAATCAACCTCCTTTAAATAAAAACAAACATTTATAAACAATCATTTTGGGAATTTGGGTGTAGTTCTCTAGACTACTTCCTACTAATTGTTGGACAAAGTATTCTTAGGATTCACAGAGACCTTTCAGGGGAATCTCGTTCCATCAAACCACATTAGTCTAGAAGGAATCCACAGATGCTCATTTCTTGTGGAATCTAAAGCAGAACCTCTTTTCCAAAGTAACATATCCTTAGATTCAAATTTTGAAGTCAAGATAATTTTATATTGGTTTAGCTTAGCCGCCCCCAGAGTCGAATGTCTCTCTGCAGTCAAAAAATTAAAAGAAAATGCAATATACATAATCCAGACTTTCTGTGTACATTCCATATTTACATGGCTTCTTTTTCTTTATTCCTTTAATCTATGACTGTCTGTACTCTTTTATATTACTTTTACTGTTCTATAGCTGTCTGTACTCTTCCTCCCCCCCCCCCTCTCTGTTGAGCCTATGTGCATATTTTAAACACACTGCGTCTCATTTAGGTGTCTTTTATGTCTGAATCTGTCCCATTGTCTATCTGACATCCTTTTCTGACCAGGAATGCTTCTTAAAATGCTAAGCTGGCTTGGACTAAGGCTGCTTTGTCTTTTGGCCCTGTCCAGTCCAACGTGGCAGAGGTATGTTCACCGCCAGTTCTGCGAGCCATGCTCACCACCCCAGCTCCAGGGATGCCCCAGGTCTATGTCACCATTAAGCAACTAGCAGCATGCTGCTCACAAATCCCATCTACGTGCAGGACTTCCCGAAAGAGCCGGAAGCCTTTGTGCTGCTACTAGTACCAGCACCAACCAGCAAGTCATCTCTTAAAGAAGTCATGCAGTTTTTGCTAATGCTGAGTCAGGAAGCCTTCTTCAGTTCCTAACTGCCCAGACCTGAATAATCACACAGAAACTATATTAATTACAACACTGTTTGGCCAATAGCTTAGGTGTATTTTTAGCTAGGTCTTTTTTTTAAAAAAAAAAAAATTTATTTATTTATTATGTATACAATATTCTGTCTGTGTGTATGTCTGCAGGCCAGAAGAGGGCACCAGACTTTATTACAGATGGTTGTGAGCCACCATGTGGTTGCTGGGAATTGAACTCAGGACCTTTGGAAGAGCAGGCAGTGCTCTTTACCACTGAGCCATCTCTCCAGCCCCCTTTAGCTAGGTCTTATATCTTAAAGTAACCCATTTCTATTTAATCTTTGTATCACCATGAGTCTGTGGCTTATTGGGCAAGGTGTTGGCATCTGTCTCCTTTGGCAGCAATATGGTGTCTCCTCAACTCTGCCTGCTCCCTCTATCTCTTCAGATTTCCCACTTGGCTTTACTCTGCTAAGCCATTGACCAAAACAGCTTTATTCATCAACCAATAAAAGCAACACATATACAAAAGACACCCCACATAGTAAGATCCTGTCTCTAAAAGGTAAAGGATAATATGTAGATATGCCAGGAGTTCTGTGAGGACATACAAGTAGATCTTGGAGCCAAGGCTTGTAAGAGTCATGTGGATGCCTGAGAAGGACTGTCCCAAGATGGGAAGGTGCCCATCATCTTTAAGTGACAAGAAGTCCACTATGAGAAAGGGACAATTTGGGGTGAACTAACAGAGAGCAGGAGATTAACAGCAGAATTCTGAGGAAAGAGGAAATGCATGTAGGGCCATAGCCAACAAAGAATTCATAGCTAACAGAGTCAGGCTAAAAAAAAGGGGGGGGGAATGGAGGTCACTGGGAGGAAACAGAGTCCCTCACCTCCATAGGCTGAGAATTGCACAAACAAGATTAGGAACCATATTCCCAGCCAAACACCACCCTGACTTCCTTGTCACCTGTGTATACTATATATAGTAAGGATTCCATTGAGGCTTTTGTTGTTTGTTGACACAAGGCTTCACATAGACCAGGGTACCCCCAGCCACAAAATGATTCTTGTTGTTACTTTATAACTGTAATGTTGCTACTGTTAGGATTTGTAATGTAAACATGTTTTGGAGCTAGAGGTTTGCCAGAGGAATTGGGATGCACGTGTGGAGAACTACTGGCTTAGAGAATAAGAATAAGTATACTAAAACATTCCCACTTAATCTTTGAAATTCTTTGAACAATGTAACTTTGGAGGTCACCAAGCCCCCCCCCTCTATCTCTATCTCCATCTCTGTTTCACACACAGAGTTATATGTGACTCTCTTTAGAAATCTGCATCCACTCCAAGTCATGTGCTACTGTCCATGTCTTCTGTTTCTCTTTCCCTCTCTCTTAATGTCTGTACTGACATCTCTATTAAAACCCTTTTCTTAATAAACTTCAGCTTGGATTCATATTAACTTCTCCTGATGTCCTTTTCTAGGGCGTAAGTCAACAACCTGGCTTCACCAGGAATGGTGACCTCAACTGCTTGGGGGAGGTTGAGATAGGGGACGTGCAAACTCAAGGCCTGCCTGGGCTATAAAGAACTCACCTGTTGCAGAGGATGGCTAACCCATACTAACCACTCCTTGGCTCCTCTAAAGAGAAGTCCTCAGCTTTGCAGGTAACCTTGTGCTTCCTGCTCATGATACAGTATGAAGAAAGGATGTAGTAGACATCAACATGAAAAATGAAAGCCATTGAACTGAGAAATGAGCGTCACATATGCACTGGTGCTTCTCAAAAGAGGGAGCGGCCAATAGAGCCCTGAGAAGCTGTTCTTCGTGATCACGGGGCAGCAGAGAAAGGCAGGCCACAAGGCTAGCAGCACTGTGGCACTGCAGAGGGGTGAAGGCTTCAGACACAGGCGACACCAACCCCCAGAGCGGACCCAGGATGCAGATGGCTGTGGCAATCAGCGGAAACCACGTCCATTTGTATGGAAACTAAAGTATTCATATGTTACATGCCAGCCATGTCTCTCTAAATTTACATACTCAGCAAGATGCATTTATATGTTTGCCCCCACCCCCACCCCCAATCTGTGTAGGAATGTTTAGAGCTGTGTTTAACGTTCACAAACTGAGACTGACCCAAGTGGCCAATGTTATTCTAAAGACCAGTTGTGTGACAGGCTTATGGTCACACAACTGGTCTTTAGAATAATAAATTATTTGGACCTCACAAAATATTGAACAAATGAAAGACATAAGATTCAGTTTGTGATTCTGCATGCCTAATGGCGAAAACAAACTAAACCAACCAATTCTGTGAGAAGAGAAAGCCCACTGCAGAAAGAGTGGCTGTAAGAGGACATCTCGGGACACCATACCGTAGTGCCACATTTGACCCAGATGCTAGTTAAATAGGTGAGCCCAATTTAGGAATAGCCACAAAACTATGTAACGACAGTTGGCATTTATCTGTCTCCATATCAGACAGATGCTTGTGAAAGTAACCAAGAGGCACCCTTGGTGATGGGTCCAGTGCTCGGAAGCACTCTCCCACACTGAGCTGAGTGTGAGACACTTGGAACAAAACACATTGTTGAGCCAAAAAAAAAATGAGAAGGCAATGTATTTGCTCAATTCACAGATGCCATTTCTACTTGACTGGTTTCTTAGACACAGGGTCTCACCATGTTGCCCAGTCTAGCCATGAGCTCCAGCACTCAAGAGACCCTTCCCTGCTTCAGTCTCTGAGTAGCTGGGGCAACAGGGCCTTCTCCTTTGTGCTCAGCTCCATCTCGAGATGCTGAGATTGATCCAAGAGGTCCTAAAGCTCTCGGGAAGAAAGAATCTACTCCAAGAAAAAGTTGGGCAGTTTACGACCATCTCCTCTGTGCTTACCCTGATACCAAAGTAACTTACTGTGTCACAGTGTCACGACGCTAGATGCACTGTGAATTCCACCAAATTAAGCACAGCTTCTCTGAAGCTCTGTAAAAGCCAAGCTCTGTGATACTGGTGCAAGCTTGGAATGAGGAAGACATTGACGAGTCCATTGGTAATCAGGGCTCCTTGCTGGGCAGGTTACCTTGCAGACAAAAGGCCTAGTTTGCCACCGGTAAGCTGAGTGAAACAAAGGACCTCCTGCCGCTCACCACCTGGTAGCAGCCCCAATAGGGGCTGAGATGGGGGGTCTTGTGGCCCCGAAGGAGGGGAGGGGTGCCTTAGAAAAGCTGGGATGGGATAGGAGGAGAAGGGCAGTAGCTGCTGGGAGAAGCCCCTGCAGAATGACCAGAAAGATTAGGGGGTCGAGGGATGTCTATGCTCCGTGACCCCGGCTTCTGCAGCCTGCGGTCAGCAACATTGGTAATCAGAACCCACATAAAAACCAAAGCTCCTTGGGACCCTGAATGAATAATTTTTTAAAGGGACTATTTGAGAACTCTGCTATTGATTAGGGTCACTTTTCCTATGACCGTGGATGAAGCCACTATTTTACAGTCTCCGGCACCCGTGAGTCTCTCACTGGGACTAGTTTACTGGTCCTCTTAGCTCTCCCCAGTTTTAGTCTTTTAAATTTTTCTTTTAATCAATTTTTTTCTTTGAAAACTATTTTTTTAAATTTACTTTTCATCCAGCATTGTGTTTTTTCCACTGTAAAGATAAATTCACCGGGTGAAGTTTGGGTTCACCTCCTGAGGTGACTTGAAACAAGGGCACGCTTCTCTCAGCTTTGAGCTGACTCTGGGGAGCCTTGACTCTTGAGTGTCAGCAGGAAATGCGACCTGCTGCAGGGCCCCTCAGTCCTATCTGCTGAAGAGAGACCCACGTGGGCAGCTAAAGATAATCTGGTTGAGGTAAAGTCCACAAAGCACATATATCCTCACAGCCAGGAATGCCTCCACCCTGCAGAGAACGCCCCCAGGAGTAAAGATGCATGAAGACTCTGGTAATTCCAACAGAGTGAAATGTCGAAAGTGATAGGCAGTGGAAAAACAGTCTTGTTCTGCTTGAACCTTAGGACTGGACATCTATTGGGATACGAAGTGCCTCATAGCAGTGAAGAGAAAAACAGAGGTCTGAAGCAAGTTCCAGCACTTGGGACATGCAGGCTCCCACCAGGAGAGCACTGTCCTTACACATTACGGGCACACAAACCCTCTGATGCTGGCACAAACATCAAGATTGCAAACTGTGGCTTCAGCAGCAAATCTGTCCTTTACAACAAACGGGATACTTTCTGCGGCAGCCTGGCATTTCCCTAAGGTAGCTGCCCAGCGCCTGGGACTTCCATGCACTGGTAAGTGGGCTCCTGCCTTTGGACCTACGGAGGTTCAGAGGACAGCCAGAGAGGAACTGAGCAGGAGACACAACATTCGTCCTAGGTGGCTATGGTGAGAAGAACATATTCAAAGATAAACTCATTCATTCTCAGTCCTAGTTTGGGGAACACTGTGAGGGACCCATTGACAAATGGGGGTCACCAAGGTGAGGAACTTAAGCAGTTTGTGGGGTCGCATCCTGTCTTCAAAGTTACAGACAGGACTTCTTAATGGACTGGAAATTCAATAAGACAATGGCCTCCTGCCTTCTCCTGAGCTCTTTTTAACAGCTACCCTGGCACTTGAAGACACAGCCCTCAGGTGAACTGACCAACAGCTCACCTCCGCCAGCCCACTAGGTACAACTTCGACTGCTAACCTCAAGGGGTATGGTTTCAGCAGCCTGCCTTCCGGCTTCCATTGTTCCTCAGAGGGACAGCACAGATCCCAAGGACGAAGAAATGGTGTGGAGGACAGCCTTATGCCTCTTCCCACCAGCTGCAAGCCAGCCCGACAGAAACAAGCCACCCTTCCCTCCCATCATCTCCCACCATCCTCTACCTCTTCTATCACAAACAATACAATAGAAACCCCCACTTATGGGACAGCCAGCCGCGACAAAGTATTTGTTCAGATTAGCACAGCTGTGAGGTCTTCCTGCCCGGCACAGCGACAGCCCTCCTGGTAGTCTCCCCCTCCACCCAAACAGAAGCATATATATCAGAGTTCCAGACAAACCAGCTTCCAAGAGGTATGTCCATTGCAGACCTGTGCTGGCTGGGGATTCTACCCAAGGACCTGGCTACAGCCTTATCCTTTAAGAACTGGCCCAGACCACCAGGGGCCCTATCTTAGCTTCTTTAGGAGTTCAGCTTCAACTGCACAGGAAGAAATCACGGTTTCAAGGTTTCCACGAGAAATCTGAAGACAAACGCGAAGTGAAAAATTACCCACCCGGAGAAATCAGGCGCTCACGGGATTTTGGACAGAGAGGACACAGAGCTCCAGAGTCCAGATGGGCTCTTTCTTGGCCCCTGCAGCTGGCTGGTGCTAAGAGCACCCTGCATGACAAGCTCCAAGCTGCCTAACCTATGGGGTCTCTGGAATCTTTCTGTTTGAATCTCCATGGTCTGGAGGTGTGAACATCTCCTGGTCAAACACAGCCACACTGGAGCCTTCCCTCACCTGCTGGGCTCAGTTTTCAATCGGCCTCTGTGGGAAAGAGAGGAGATACTGTAAAGTAAGGCCCCAGCAGGAGACAAGCAAGATATGGGTGTAGGTATTGCCAGGAGCCCCAGCAGCACTTGCCTGACAGGGACTGAGGTGGGCTGGGAACAGGAAGACCTGCTGAAGGGGCCCTCTGGATGCTCTGAGCAGGGGAAGCCAAGGCCTCTTTCTTCCCATGTACTCTTTTGGGAGTGGAGACAGCATGTGTCTCTCTTGGACCAGAGCTGCTCAGCTTTCTGCATTTGAGAAGAGCCAGCATCTGAAGCATTGACTACCTGCTACTTTTCCGTGCTGGTTAGCATTAGACTGGCACCAGCAAGCCCACAGAATGTCTTCTTCCCGCAACCACACTTTAATCCTAGCCATATCACTTTACAAATTAAAGACTCATGTGGTCAGAAAAAGAGAGATAAACAGTGAAGATCGATTCAGGCAATGAAAACCTCTAAATGGTTTACAGTGTGTTTAAAAATATATGTAGGCTTGGGAGAGAAAAGAAAAAGAATAAAGTCCTGTGGGAGACTTACTGCTCCCTGGATCAGTTTTGCCCACCCTGTTGCACTTGGCTTCTCCTGCTCTTCTGATCTGTCAAATACTAACTCTGCAAGGAGTTTCTGTTCCATTGTTTCTGTGTTCTGAACATTCTGACTTTTCCACATGTTGCTGTTAGGGACTTTCCGCCTGACCATTAGACCATGGTTAGGTTACCTAGTAAGTTGCCTAGTTACCCATATATACAAGGAGAATTTCCTCCTTTTCCTTACCCTATATTTACCTGAATTATTTCCTTGAATAAACGAGACTTGATCAGAACCCTGTCTTGTCTCCAACTGTTTTATCTCTTGTCCCATCCCATTCTCACTGCCCCTTCCTGGGTCTCCCTGGTTGACCGTTGACTTACCCGCAGGCTGGGGCAAAGTCCTTAAAAAGAGAGAGAGAGAGAGAGAGAGAGAGAGAGAGAGAGAGAGAGAGAAGTTTAGTGTGGTGGTATACAACTTTAATCCCAGCACTCGAGAATTATGGGTTAATGTAAGTTATAAGAGTTAATAAAAAAAATTAAAAATTAAAAAAAAAATAAAAAAGAGTTAGTAAGAAGCCTGAGCTAATAGGCCAACCAGTTTATAATTAATGTAGACCTCTATGTGTTTCTTTGGGTCTGAATGGCTGCCAGACCGGGTGGGACAGAAACCTGTCAACAGCTGAGAAGCAAACCAATATTTGAATAAAACTACACCTAGCAGGACACTGTGGTACACACTTCTAGTCCCAGCTACTTCAGATGATCACTTGGGTCTAGTAGTCCAAGGCCTGCCTGAACATAGCACCTCAAAACACCTTAAACATAAATTTAAGAGCCAGGCATGGTAGCCCACACCTTTGTTCCTAGCATCCTGGAGGCAGAGGTAGGTAGATCTCTGAGTTCAAGGTCTACTTAGTGAGTTTCAGAACAGCCAGGGCTACACAGAAAAACTGTCTCAAAAAACAAAACAAAAAATTAAATTGGAAAATTTTTAATTAAAAAAAAGGGAGACTAAAGCTAATACTTAAAAAAGCAAGAGAATCATTTAGGCTATGCACTGAGGCAAGCCTGGGCTACATAGCAAGACCTTGTCTCAGAAACAAACAAAACCAAAGGTTGGGTATGAGGAGAGCTGGAGATGGTTCAGTCAGTAAAGTGTTGTTTCAGTAGCATGAGGACCCGAGTCTGGAACCCTGACACCCATGAGAAAAGCCAGGTGTGTCTGTAATGCCAGCACTGGGGAGGCTGAGGCAGGAGGATCCCAGCCTTGTCAGATTGCTAGCTCCAGTGAGATGGCCCAATCTTCAAAGTTAAGGTGGAAAGCAGTTACAGAAGATACCGTATGTGGACCTCTGACCTTCACATATATGTGCATGCCCACATAGAACACATACAACAGGATATCGGGGTGGGATGCCGGCCTTCACTTTTGTTGACTGTACTTGTTTGGGCTAGAAATAAATGATAAAGAGAATGTTGTTTGGGGTAAGAGTAGAAAAGGCCATAGGTAGATTTATCTTTATAAGCTTTCCTTTGTGAGGGCTCCCGTAAGGTATACGTTTTTCATGATTTCATCTTAGCTTTTAGGTTTGGCTTTCCCTTGATGGGGGAGAGTCTTCTGTTTTGTGTTAATTTCACTGGTTAAATAAAGAGACTGCCTTGGCCCTTTGATAGGACAGAAAATTAGGTAGGCGGAGTAAACAGAACAGAATGCTGGGAGAAAGAAGCCAAGTCAGGCAGTCGCCATGATTCTCCTTTCTGAGGCAGAGGCAGGTTAGGATCTTACTGGTAAGCTACCACCTGGTGGTGGTACACAGATTATTAGAAATGGGTTAATCTAGATGTGAGAGCTAGCCAGTAAGAGACTAGAGCTAATGGGCCAAGCAGTGTTTAAAAGAATACAGTTTCCTGTAATTATTTTGGGTAAAGCTAGCCGTGCAGGAGCTGGGCGGGAATGGAGCCCACCGCAGCTCATACTACATTCCCTAATGTGTGTAAAACACAAATATATTCAACAAAAATGTAAGAGAGAGAAAGATCTTTCTTGATTTGACACAAAGTTAATGCCATTGTGTGAAAGATCAGATTTTACTACACCTATTTATAAAATGTAAAAGAGAGACTGAATCTGTGATACACATAGGAACAGCAAATATTATGCCCACCTGAGTGTGTGAGCTCAGTGCTGACAGCTGACAACCATCTTACCTTCAGTTCGCAAGCCACAGAACTGGACTGAGTGTTGGCCTAAGGGCACCAGGACACCAGATTAAACAGTGAATTCTAAGTGCACAAGAGGTTTGAGATGGTTCCCATCACATCTCAAAGAATGTGGGCATTTACCCCCACTCCCAACTAAAACCTCACTAACATAACAGGGCAGAGATTAGCTTTAAAGGTCAGAATAAATAGGCCCTGCAAGGAGAAATAGCAGTGCAGTTTTGGAAGCAAGAACCTGATATGAGTTATCTTTCCAGGAAACATGAGAGAATCCAAGTAAGCGGACAGGCTTGGTGCCTCATCCAGTAATTCTACCACTGGAGGGGCTGATGCAAGAGGATCACCTTGAGTTCAAGATCAGTCTGGATTGCATAGTGAGACCCTGCAGAGAAGGGCCATGATGTGACTCAGGTTTAAGAAAGCACGTTGCTCTTCTAGACCAGAGTTTGATTCCTAGCACCCACACTGAGCAGCTCATAACTGCCTGGAACGCCAGCTCAAGGGAGTCTTATCCTCTTCTAGTCTCCAAGGGCACTGAAGTACATACACTCACATACACGCACGCACGCGCGCACACACACACATTCATATACACACTCACTCATACACATACTGTATGTGTCTGACTCTTGTTTATGCTGCGGAACATTTGTTTAATGATGTAAAGATGTGTTGCTTTTGTTTATGCTGCATTTGTTTAACTCTGTGAAGCTGTGATTCTTTGCCTGTCTAAAACACCTGAAGGTCTCTAATAAAGAGCTGAACGGCCAGTAGCAAGGCAGGAGAAAGGATAGGCAGAGCTGGCAGGCAGGCAGAGAGAATAAATAGAAGGAGAAATCTGGAAGAAGAGGAGGAGCAAGAGAGAACAAGGAGAGGAAGGATGTCAGGGGCCAGCCACCCAGCCACCCAGCCACCCAACCACCCAGCCACCCACAGAATAAGAGGGAAAGTAAGAAATACAGAAGTAAGAGAGAGGGAAAAGCCCACAGGCCAAAGCTAGATGGGATGATTTAAGAAAAGCTGGGTAGAAATAAGTCAAGCTAAGGCCAAGTATTTATAAGTAATAATAGGTCTCTCCGTGGGTGATTTATTTGGGAGCGGATGGGGAACCCCCAAAAGAGTCCAAAATCTGAAAGAATAAAACAACTAACAATACATACTTACTCAAACACACACAATTATAAACTTGAAAGAGAGAGAGAGAGAGAGAGAGAGAGAGAGAGAGAGAGAGAGAACGACTAAGTGAGCAAGACACAAGGGCATCTTGTTCCTAGGCTGAGTTCTTAAAAGCTCTAGGGATGGAGAGATTGCTCAATGGTTAAGAGCACTGGCTGCTCTTCCAAAAGACCCGGGTTCAATTCCTGGCACCCACATGGCACCTCACAACTGTTTGTAACTCCAGTTCTAGGGGATCTGACACCCTCACACCAATGCACATAAAATACAGGTTATAAAAAAAAAAAGCATCCGGGCAGTGGTGGCACAAGCCTTTAATCCCAGCACTTGGGAGGCAGAGGCAGGTGGATCTCTGTGACTTTTAGGCCAACCTGGTCTACAAGAGCTAATTCCAGAACAGCTAGGGCTGTTGCACAGATAAACCTTGTCTTCGAGAAAAAAAAAAAAAAAAAAAAAAAAAAAAAA